CCCTAAACCCTAAACCCTATCTCCCCCCCTCCCCCCCTGCATCCGGCCTCCTGCATCCCCTGCCCAGCGTAGCACTTGGACTTGAGAGAGATCCACCCCTCCCATACTTCCCTGCACATTCTTTGGGATTCATCAGGGTTTAGGGTTTAGGGTTTAGGGTTTAGGGGTGTCTTTCGGGGTTTTGTAGGGTGGAGGGTTCACGGAAAGACGGTTTGAGATGCTGTGCGGGTCTTCAACTCTTTCACTTGCACCGCATTGATGGCGTACTACCACAAACCGACTGCTCCTATTCTGCCACAGTAAGCAGCATGGCACATTGTCATTGGTCATACGCACTCTAAAGAAAGTAACCCCTGTTTTCGCATCGTTCATGATCGAGATTCCACTGCTTCGCTTTTCGCTTGGGGCCTGGTTTGGGGCCTGGGACTTGCGAGGCGTTGGGTGTAGGACTTGGTTTTGGGGGCGCCCAGCTTTGGCCAAGCCAGATTGCGGTGCACTTGTTTGGAGCCTGTGGAAAGGTGTATTCATAGGGCTCGGGCCTATAAATAAGCAGTACCATCTCAGGCTATCAGAAGAACTCCGGGCCACAACATCGTGCGGGGACCTGAGATCAAACACTTTGCGTGACAGCCGGTGCAACAAAAAACTAAATGTCCGACTGTTCCGCGGTATGTCTGCAGTCCGGAAGACGGATGCACGTTGCCCGATTTGTTGTGGGGCTGTGTCTTCCAAGGGCGACAACCGCTAGCAAAGACGCTTAAAACAGCTGGGAATGATCTGATGAAGAACAACTACGTCATCGTGGTTTGACCCCAAACCCCAAACCCACACCCCAAACCCTGCGGCCGAAGCGGAGCCGTGGCCTCTTCTCCAGCAGCCACTCGCAAGCTCCCATCCATCCACCTTGCCACCACTCCTGCAGTTCAAGCTCTCGGCCAAGAGCGGCCCGCATCCTCTGCACAGCCTCCGCACTCGCATACATCATCCTCAGCGCCTGCAACAGCTCATGGTTCAGGGGTTACCGCACAAACCCTAAACCCCACGGTCGTTACAGGGCAATGCTTCAAAGCAGTGAGGAACGGTAGGACCAATGTCACTCATAGAAGCCTTGTAACAATCTTAAAGAAGCTTTTTGGGACCTTCCGCCCAAAAGCCAGGCCTCTACCGTCGACACATCCATGTTGATCATCAAGTCGCGGACGTCCGGTGCGAGAGTTTCGAGATTCCAGTGAGACACGATGCGCAAATCCAGGGCTTGAGCCATCGTTGCCTGGTGGGAAGAGAGGGGTCCAAGCTGCAAATCAAATCCCACAGTGGAGCCGCAAACTGTTCAAGATGGTTGGGGCTTAGGGTTTGGGGCTTAGGGTTTAGGGTTTAGGGTTTAGGGCTTGGGGTTTCCCAAGAGCTTTGGGCCAAGAAGAGAGTCGCTGTTCTACGGTCCTCAAGACCTAATGTGGGGGCCTTAATATTCAGAATAGGGTTTTGGGATCCTTCATGGTAGAATAGGGTTTTGGGGCTCCTTCATTGTAGAATGTTTGGGCTCCTTCATAGTAGTATTATAAGAGGAACCCCAAGGAAGAATGTAGGTAACTTTACTGGGGCTTCTATAACTACGCCCTCTTCAAGCTTGGAGGGAGGACAGGCCTTGTTGCCCAGATTCCACTGCTGCTCATTGAACTCCGGAAAGGCGATCAGCTCGGCTCTCTTGGTTCTGAAGGTCAAGTCGGGCTCCCAGAAGTAGAAAAGAATCCTGGTTCAGGGGCTTAGGGTGTAGGGGTTTAGGGTTCAG